AGAGACGATCCTTTTTGATGGCCTTTTGATACAGGACTAATTAATTCGGCTTCAACTGTACGTGCACAGCAATGCAGCAGTGTCCTGTAGATGAACGATGACATCAACTGTGCCTTCTAGCTGTCACATCAGAAAGGAGATGTTCTCCATCCCATCTGCAGAACTTTACTCAATTTTAAAAGATTCAGGTTCATTCAGTCCTTATGCAAAACTCATTGTCTGCAGGGCATTTTGCTTTGGTTCACAAGTCCCATGGGTTGATGCCATCTTATTATTTTGAAGGCCAAGCCCCTACCATCCTACAGCTTCTCCACCCCCAGGGCCTTCTACATTGCCCATATTACCCGTGGCAACAAATTTAACACTTATTTTTTCCCCTAATGCGTTCTTCATAGCTGATCCTATGGAAGCGAAAAAGTCAACTTGGCTCCGCCGGACGTAATTCCTCAGCAGAAACCTCAAATATTAACAAGTTTCTCATAGTACAGATGCCTTCTCACCAACTGTCATTTTTTCTGCTGGTGAAAAATTTGCTTCCTAGAGCATGAGAGGCAAAAAGACAAATCCTGAAGTGACCTGAGGCCTCCACGTCCTCTATCCCATTGCAGCTCATCAGTTAGAGTCCCACAGAGCGACCCCAGACGGCTGCTGGGGTAACAGAGACAGGGTGATTGGAGGCCAATTCCTCCACAGCTCCTCAACCAGTCACCAGCAGACCAACTGACCTGGATTACCGTCCTAGTGAGCACAAACTCCAGCTTGTTTACTACATCACGTTAACAGGGTTTAGAAGGATCACTTTGTCTTTCTGGAGATGAAATTAGAAACAAATCTTAGCATGGGGACATGCGCACATACAGTTGCACGATGTCTAATAAACAGCAAGCAGTGAAAACACTTAAATTATGGAACAGAATTATGAGTCTCAACTATTCCTTGGGTGCTCTAAAAATTATTGATTTCAAGAGAACAATTAAAAACATTAGGTTAAAATTTCAAAGCATTTTGCTTCCTCGACTTGGTAGATGCCTGTGTCAAGTTCCTAGTTGCTCAGGTCTAGATAAGGGACAGTTAATAAAACGTTTAAGTTGTTTTCTTCAAACAGAGATGCTGAATGCCTACCACTTCTGAAAAGTGAAGGCGACTGCTAAATCTGGCTGTATCAACTATCAACTTTTTTTCTTTTTGAAGTCTTCAAAGCAACTGCACATTAAGCCATTGTTCAAGAGAGATAGCCTCCCCTCTGTAGGAGTTCAGACTTTGATGTGTCGGAGAATTCTTCAAGGACAAAATACTCATTCCTAAGGAAAACTGTATTATCTCCCCTTCCCCCCCCCTTAGTGAGCAATGAGACATCTGATGCTGCAGAACTGTGAAAAGAGAGTTAGCAGGATTTATTTTTTTTAAACTATAGTAGCCAAAATGTAAATTCTTTCTACAGAGAAAAACACCATGACGAAAAGCGACCGACACAGGAAAAGTTTGCACAATTTCTGAAAAGGTTACAACCGCTTTTGCAAAGGCGCTTATCAACATGTTTTAGGAACAGAGTATATATACACCATTAGTATTCAGAGTTTATGTTGCGACAGTGGTCTGGAGACTCAGTAAAACTCAGTTCTGCTACCTTGCCAGGGACAAAAAGAGTGCGAGACCTGAATAGTTCAGAGCACATTAAGTTTAAGAACTTTTTATGTCTTCAAGGCCAAGATCAAGTTTTGAATCCATACATTGATGAAGCGTTCACAGAACGATAACAACTCGGAAGGAAAACTTCATTCACAGAACTTAGCAAACACCCACTTTTCCACCTAATTTTTTCCTCAATCTGCCACAATACTTTCCCTAGCTGGGCGGCCTATAAATAATCCATCGCTATGCCTCCACTTCTTCAATCTCCTCAAATGCCCTTTCCGAAGTGGAGAAAGATAAAGCCTTCTATCTTCCTTGTAACAAAGTTGTTCCACGAACAATGGAACTAAAAGCTCATTTCCTACCCATCTCTGTCACACACCACCGAACCTCTGCTCTGCCCCGCTAATCCCAGCATCCTGCAGCCAGCTCTCCGTTGATGCCAAGGCCCTGCCAGTACACGAGTCCTGCGCAGATCTCTTCCTATAATTGTTTTGCATCCTCCCAGCCTGGGCAGAAGATAGCATATGCTGCAGTTAATCCCAGAGCGCATTTTATGATTAGCTAGCCACTGTCGTAAACACAAAAGATTTGTTTTGTCCTGAAGCCCTTCTTTTAGTGGAAAATTATTTTTGCTCTCTCTTCCAGGCAGCCTGATGTTTTACATACTGGCAGTCATAAGTGGCCTGTCATTTCCTACTCTAATGCTTCACTTGAACAAAACTGGACAAGATGCTGAAAACTTCCTGGGAAAGATAGACACAGAAAGTAATAGCATGAGACTAAACTCAAGGGAACAAAACAACAGGCCTTCCAAAACCTTCTCCCGTTAAGTCCCCTTCTAAATGCTGAATGATTTTTTTTTTTTAATTGCAGAAATCATTTATACATATATCCCTGCAAATTATGAGAGTACTCTGCACTAACACAATGCGCAAGGCAACTTTTGCAGATCAGTCTTCTTACAGTTTAGCACTTCATTAACCTGCTCCTGTATTATCATCTCGGAAGCTTCTCACTTTCGGAGACTATAATCCTTTCCTAATGGGTTTCCATCTTCGGCTTCTAAAATCCTACAAACTGTCAAGACATCCATGAAATATGAAAAGCTTATCAGTTTTATATACCAAATACTTTTTTTTTTTTTTCCCAGCATTAACACATGTTCAGGGAAATAGTTACTCCAGCTGTATGTACAGCAAGCTGTTGCTTTCTAATGGTTGTTTATGACAGGTGAATTACCACACCAGTTAGAGGACGGATTCAACTGACCTTCCCTCACCGATAGCTGTTCCGCTGCATTTCAAAAGGGATAATAATCTCATGGGTTAAATCCTTCCCTCCCCTCTGTTTAAGGCTAGAAGCTTTCAAGAAATTTAAACAACTACCATTAAGCATTAAGACTGGAATATTTAAGGAAAAAAGCTTATCTTTCATGCCTATAAACCCTACCGCAACAGGACCCCCTTCCTCGCAGAGAACCTGCAGACAGGCCTCTCCTGAAATTCAATATATCCTCTGCACTTTGGTTTAGTCTTTCCACGTAAAGCAGATTTCTCACAAATATTTATGCGAGGTCTCACAAAAGAGAAGCAAGATATTTAGACTGAAAGTGATGGTCTTATTCACCACCCCCCTTTTCTTCCCCTGCATCTAAAAGGAAACTATTCTGCACTTAGCTTTTTGTATATAACTCGATTATTTATCTATGGTGACATGGACCTGTACCTCTCCGCAAATTGTTCTAACTTGTCTTTAATTTTAGTGTGGGGAGTTCAGTCACTGGCCCGGAAACCTCTGAGCAAAGGAATTTCTGGCATCTTGGTTGGAGCTGGCACCAACCCATTTGCCTTTGTTCTCATTAAAGGAACCATAATACGGTACGTTAAAGAAAATAGAAAGAATAATAAAGCAAGCTGAACATCTTCCCTAAATCATTTGCCTTCATGTACAGCCCTTGAGTTTGAAATGTCAAAAAAGGAACAGCTAGGTATCCAGGCAGAAAATCCTACAAGCTGTACTGCTGTCAAATGCTCAGATGCATGCATTAACCTAACTCAAACCAGTGTGATCCCCAAATATGACTGAGTCGATGAAGTGCAAAGAGTTCAGCAGATCTATCAAGTCAGAGGTAGAAGAAATTATACCAGCTTTCCTGATCACAGCATGCCTGGGGTTGCAGTTTCGGAGTTCCAAAATATCTCTGTAAACAAGTTTTTAATTCATACCATGCTGACCACCGAGAGCAGTATTTTTAAGTCATACAATGCATGCCCTATCTTCTACATGGAGAAATAAAGAACCCCATAATTTACAATAATGGATGGTCACTTCCTGACGGGTCTGGATGAGATCAACAACTTGCAGCCACGTTCTAGGACTTTGAGATCATTTATCCTTTTTGTCCTTTAACTTCTGGCATCTGGAAGCCATAGCAGATAGTCACCAAGATTTCTATTTTCTGGACACAGGAAACAAGAAGAGAGCACAAACCCTAATGTAACATAGAGCCATTAGTCTTTTTCCTCTTGCTTTCTCCATCTGCTTGAAATGAATATTCAACTTTTCATCTGGGTGTCCACAGAAAGAATACAGAAGACTTGATGAATGTATTTATTCTTTGGAGAGAATTTAAAATTAAAAAACCAAGTTTGGGGACTGTAATTCATACACATTTATCATGCCACTGGCTTCCTCTAACGATCCAGAAAGAGAATCTTTAGCAAAACCATGTGGCACCAACTTGGTGTAGATACAACAGAATTTTTTCTAAACTATACTTTTACATTAGTAATATAGAGAAAACACTCATTTAGACAAGGCTCAGAGTTATCCTTGTCACTTAAATAATTTTTTCCTTGTTGTTCTTTAAACCTGTTGCTATTACCTGTGTAGCAAACACTTGCAGCAGGGCACATTAGATTTTAAAGAACAAGCACAAAGCTATTCCAATTTCTATTTTGATTAAAAACATGCTTCCCACTGAAAAAAAAAAAAACGACTTCAAACTTCACCGCAAAATTGCCTTGGTTTTGAAGAAAGCTTCATCATTAATAAATTCCATCACATGAGGTTATATTCAAGTTTTACATCCTTACTGTTAAGAAGTCAATCCAAGCAACTTGAGTGATCACCAACTTTTTAGCTAATACTAGTTCTTGTTTACGTACTAAGCCACTTTTTCCTCAGCAGTAAATACCTCCACAAGCAGAATGACTTTTGCCTCTTTACTTTGTGTATCAGTTCAACAACAAGCCTATTGAAAAATCGATGTATCAACAGGTAACTGAAAAGCAGAATTCCTCGTTTTTCCTCCTTCCATTCTACAAGTATTATTTGGAGGACAAGATCTTCTCTTTCAGAAAGTGTTTTTTTTTTTTTTTTTTTTTTAAAAAAATACTAACCAGAAATACATTTGATTTATCAATGAAAAATACTAGTTTTGTTTAAGGAACTTCTAAATACTTGCTTGAATTCCAAGGATTTCCTCTATAAAACACTTACAGGATAGCACTGAAAGTTTTACTCTTATAAAAGTGTACAAAGTTATACTAAGAGGAGCAAAGGTGGGGAGAAGAAGGAAGAAATCAAACTGTCCTCAAGGAAGTGGCAGTACAAAGGCAAAAAGGTAGAACAGTTTCTTTAAACTGCATTTCCTGCCAATCTCAGGAACTAACTTTGTAGTATGTGTTCTTCCACATCAAGGTGGGAGACAAATCACAAACGGAACATTTAAGGCTCACTGCGGACTTATGGCATTCTATATAGCATTTAAGGCATATATTTAATACAGACATCCTACCTTTTAAGTTTGTACATCACAAGTATGTGCTTGAGAAGGGCAGCATAGAAACAAGCAGATCTAAACAGGTTTCTTTATGTTTGTATTGTTTGTTTTATGTGTATGTTTTATCTAAATTTCTAAACGTCAACCTGTAAGCAACTTGTCTCTCCTATGTAAGAGGCCACCCATCAGTTTCTACCAAGGGAAAGCTGAAAAGAGAGCAATTTCCAGCCATCCATATAAATGATGCATCAGAAGGCAGTTACCTCAGTCAGCTTCTGAGGAAGCATCAGCCTAGGAAAGGGGTGGCGGGGAACATCCACTAGTCAAACAAACCAAAAAAGACTTCTCAGACAATTAACCTGATCTTAATAGTGTCCCTAGCTAGTTCACTCCCTGAAAATGGACTGGAGAGCTTAGGCTGGAGGTTGTGTCTCAAATAAAGAGGCTCTGGGATTTTAGGAATTTAGTCTGTATACAGTTACTCTCTGCTTCAAAATACAGTAAACTGTACAGTAAGTTTTTGTTAGCAATTAGAATTACTACTAAATTATTAATTAAACTGGGAATGTGTGACACTACCTACTCCGGATATTTTGCAATACCATATTTATAAGTATCAGCAAACTGGAACGCAAAATACGCTTTTTTTTCTTGGTCTGGGAAGACAACAAATATGAAGTCTCTTGATCAGATTAGACTGCAGAGTTCAGACGCAGGTTTTGTGAACTTCCTACGCAGGACAAATACAGATCTTGGAAAAAACAACAAACTAGCCTGGTCTTACCAGAAGACATCTGGAAGAAAATGCTGTAAAATCCCAGGGAAAAGAAGCGTCATGCTATTCAAATGTAGAATGCATACTGTCCACAAATCTTTTCTTCTCTCAATATTCAGTAGTGTGTAGGTTAAATATGTGGATAGTAAGTAGGAATTTTACTTCCAGAGTTGATGTTTTTCTGTGTGATATGTTTTCTTTTTCCTCAAGTCATCTAGCTTCTGCTTTTCCACATATTAAGAAAATACTTGCTAAATGACAGCATACTAATGGTGTAGGTTAGCTGAGGTACATGAAAAGCCAGTATCTGTTCATGACAAAGTAAGACACAATGCTGTATGCTTTGCTGCCTCTTAATACAAGGTTTGAAAGAAAAATGAGTGAGTAGGTGAATCTGCGTAACTTTAAGAAAATGAGATGACAATTGAAAACATTTTCCAGCGTTTTCAAGACTAGCTTGCAGAAGTGAGTGTGATTTTTAATGATTTTTGCATAGAATATTCAGACTGGAGTTTTCCTGGGAAGAATAACTTTAGGCACAAAAAAAGTTAAAAAAAAAAAAAAAAAAGCTTAACACTAACTGATAAAACATGGAAGAGAATTGATGGAACCCTTAGCATTTAAAGTGCTGAAGTCTTAAGTATATTCTGCAGATTTTTGTAGTTGTTTTGTTCTGAAGTATTCTATTTTAAGAAGTGCAAGCCAGCTTTTTCAACATTATTGACTTACCAGTCTTAGGGCTAAAACACAGCTGCTCTCCAGCTAGAGTTCACTGCTGCCTCATCCATTACTACCCACTCCATCGCACAACAAAGGGCAATGGTTTTCTGTGCCCCTCCCTTACCTACACAGGTAGGGTCGCCCACACCATTGCAGCTTAAAAACACTTGGACAGTATGTAGCTGATGAAAGTATTCCTGAATCCTCACTTAGATACTCAATTCTTACCTCTAGCACTAGTTTCATGCTCTCCTGCTTCCCGTATCCTTTCATATCTCCAAGGATGTAAAAGAAAAAAAAAAAGTCCAAGTCAAAATTCTCCCACTCGGATGCCAACACCAGAACTAGTCTGAATTATTACCAGCCTGAAACATCTTCTTGTACATTAACAGAACCACAACACCCTGCGACAAAAACATCTAGTATGGCCACTACATACATAGTGCATGTCTCAGCTGTGCCTTGTTTGGATGTAGGACAAAGGACTTTTTTTGGGGGTGGGGGAAAGAGGGGTGGATGGACAGTTTTGTAGAGGATTTATGTAATGGGTTACTTATTCTACAGACACAGAAAAAATAGCTACGACCTTTCATTTTGAACATAAGCATTGATGTTTCCAAGGAAGGGCATAATTTGCCATGAATTTCAACAGAATTTGAGCTGACATCCAAATTAGGTAGCCCAAATTGGGTTGATAATCTGAACTAGGATTTGGAGGTTACTTTGACAGTATTAGCATGAATACCTTCAAAATCTTCTGTTTTGGCTGGCACTGTCAGTTAATTAAAAAAGGTGTGGAGCTACTCGAGACAAATCTTAATACCTTCCGTAGTAAGGAGTGTCCTTAAAACAACAAGCAAAAACCCTGTTATGCACGTATTTAGCCATGGCTTACTTTAAATTTGCTAAGAACACGATTTCATGCTACAGAGAGAGATTCTATGGCTTTGGGCCTTCTTGGAAATTTAACACTGAAGAGACCCTTCACAAGAATACTGCCATATTTTGTAACAACATTGGGCATTCCCAGCAGCCAAAGCTGTTTGTTATCTTCAGGATATACCACGGAAGACTTTCTATAGTTTTCAGCATCACTATAAAAGAGTAGTATTGGTTGATTTATGCTACTGTGGCAGCGAGGCACATAATATTGATAGGTTGCTGAAAATGAAGGAAGACAGGCCTATTAACTGGTTCCTTAATGCGACTTACAAAGAAAGGCTGATAGCACTTGCTTTGCTTTGTCTGAAGAGAAATTAAGCAAGTGGGCCACGGGGAGATCCTTCTGCTTAGTAAACAAAGAGAGATTAAGTTTTAGTAAAGACCGAGCCTGACTTTCAGACGTGCATAATGGAAGGTTGAAAGGCAACAGACTAATTGCAACAAGGGAAATTCCCACTGAATATTAGGATTATTGAGAGTGATTGAACACTGCAAGAGATTGCCCAGAAATGCTCTAGAATAATCCTGAGTAGCCTGATGTAACTGTGAAGTTAGATCTAACCTTCAAATCCCCCTCTCCTTTAAGCATAGGATTGGATAAAATGACTTTCAGAGGTCCTTTCCAACCTAAATTACTTTATTGGTCTTTACTTTATTGGTCTGCAATTCCTCTTTCCAGCCTGTATGATTTTATGTGTAGCCTTCTTTAAATTACAGTGTGATATCAGTCCAGAAAGACATTGAATATTTCTTCTCAAGTCTTAAAAAAGGATTTAAAAGAGCATGACCAAATTTAAAACAATGATTTTGCGATCTTCACAGCTGCAATCTCTTTTCTGGCATGACTGCAATTTTGGTGCCTCAGAATCCACATAAACCTGTCAAGCCAGGGAAGAGGCTATCCAATATGGCTAATCAATGATACTTAGTAAATGATGATCTTCTCTTGCTATCTTTCTTGTGGTGTGAATCACTTCCAGATGTACAAATTACTTAGGTAGTTGAAAACACCTCCATAAAGCAGCAGGTAGGGAATAGCCAACCGAGGTGCATCAGACAGTGGTAATAGCTTGGCTTACCTTGCAAATGAATGTATGAACTTGGCTCCCTTTTTAGTCTGAATAGCTGCTGCCTCCAGCAGCCTTCTATGTGTCAGTCAAACTTTTTGTTGTTGTTACAAAATGAGTTTGTGTATTACTTCCCTTTCACTAACAGATCCAGGTGTCATCTATTACTTCAAATCTGCAAAGTAACAATTTCTCAAATGCATTGCTCCTCTTCTGGAGGAGAAGCACGGTCCATGGTGGCCATCATCAGCCTCAGTCCTCTGCGGGAGTCCATGCAGGGGTTTCAGAGTAAGGTGCAGCCCTCACTGCTGCACAACCACGCCAGTCCATATAACACTGGCACCGCACATGAACTGCAGATCTTTCAGAGGACTTGAGACAAGAACGCCCATTCCACATTTCATTTCTACAAAGGATTTTGAATGGGTAACTTCATAAACAGCTTCAACTGAAATGACTTACATTTATGTTGCAAATGACCAGTTTAAAAGACCTCACATACCATCTAAAAGGAGAATTCCTCCCCACAAAGCTGACAGATACTAGCAGACAAGAGTTCGGTTATTATCCAGATTTTAACCAAAAGATCTTGAAATGCTACAAGCCTACAGTAGGTTTGCTTGAGAGAGCCATTCCATACAGCAAAAGAAAAGTTTTTGCAATTAAACCATTTTTTAAATACCAGAAGGTACACTTAAAATCCCAAGTTTATACCCAAGTCATACTGAGCTGAAATACACTGTTGCATTTCAGAAATACAGTGCCAGAACTTGTCCATGGATGCTGGCTCTTTGTAATCCGTTATGCAGCTGTACTTTTGCAGACAACATTTCACAAGAGACCAAGGCTAGGCAAGAGCTACTGCTTCCACTGGAAGTCTCTCAAAAGTTTTTTTTTTTGTTTTTATTTATATTTTTTTGTTATTGCACATTCAAACCTTATTTGAGTCCCCTGGAATGCTGCTAGATACTAAGAAATTGCTGGGTTTGCCTAAGGTTAACACTTGCTGACTGCTCCAGCGCTGTGCTGCAAGTTAGCTCCCTCACGGGTCACTTGGTGAAACCTGTATCTTCCAAAGGCCATGGCAGTACAGTTATCCAGATTAAGGTATGTATGAAAGATGATTAAATTAACAAGGACAACTTTTCAGGAAAGCAAATTAGAGGAACTCAAAAAAAAAAAAAATCTGCATAGCTGCAGAGGGAGTAAACTCTAGGAAGTGCAATGAACAGCTGGAAAGGGAAGGACACATCTTCTACAGAAGAAATCTGATTCTGCATTCAAACTTACTATCTTTTCATTAACAAGCTCCAATTTTAACTCAAATCAAACAGGAAGACAATAGTAAGCACACAATCACAGAAACGTTGAGGATGGAAGGGATCTCTAGACATCGTTAATCCCAACCCCCTTGCTGAAAGTAGGGTTAACTCCAGCAGGTTGCTCAGGGTTGTGTCCAGCTGGGTTTTGAGTCTCTTACAGCATGAAGAAGGCACAACCACTCTGAGCAAACTGTTCCATTGCTTGACCACCCCCAACAGCTTTTTTTTAAAAAAATTGTTGTTTTATTTTCCTTCTTACGTTTGAGTAGAATTTTCTGTATTTCAGTTTGTGCCCGTTGCCCCACTGACACTGCCGAGAAGAGTTTGGCTCAAGTCTTCCTTCCACCCCTCATCAGGTACCTACATACACGGGTAAGTTTGCCCAGCCCTGACTCTTCTCATCTCTAAATTGAGCAATCTCAAATTCTCCTCAACTGCCAGATGTGCCAGCCAGTCAGTCTGTGGCCCTCTTCTAGGCTTGTTCCACAATGTCCAGATAACGGCTAATGGAAGTAATATTACGAAGAGGCAATTTCAGATTTTCCTTTTGAGATCTGTACAAAAACGATGTGAAGACAACGCAGCCTTTTTGAAGTAAATTAAGGTTATAAATTACTGGTCCTCTTTGTGATTATCATCTGTTTATCCTCGATGCCAGAACAAAGCCACTTACAACCTTTAAGCTCTACGTAAGTAGACGATTTTGTTAGGTAGATGAAAATTCGAGATTGTGGGTAGTAAAAGATTTAAGTGACCAACTAAAATTGAAGAGCAATACCCACAACAGAATATTCCTGGCATTATACTACAATGGCACAAAATAATTGCCTTAATCTCTTAGTTGCATTACTGAAATTGCACTTTTAGCCTTTTATCAAAATATTATTTGATATACAAACCACAAATTTATTAGCTTTAAAAATAAAACAACTCCCGCCTATCACCGTTCTCATTCTCTTTCCAGTAACCATAGTTTTGGAGAAGAGGGAGATTGTAAGGCTCTTGAAAAGCCCTAATTAGAAATCAGGTCAACTGTAAAATAGCTGGAGCTTCCACTTGCACCTAAAATAAGACAGCAAACAAAAGGCCAGGATAAATCCAAGACGACATCCCCCATATATTCACTCTAATAATGTGTTTCATTATACTACTATAAACCAAAATAAGCAATCCAGAAGAACAGAAATCTAACTCCCACGTTTCATTTAGACTCTGATTTCCTTCTGGATCTTTCTGAAAGTTTCTACTTCGACAAGCTTTGTACCTCTTGGTACCACAGTAAGTTGGGCAGTCTGAATAGAAAGAAATAGCAGCAATTACTTTGAGAAGTTTGGCTCACTTCCATGATGGAAAAAATGTGCATGCTCAGCACTCGAACTTCCCTGAGCTCATCTTGGCTACCTCAGAAACATTTTCTCACTGTCGCAGAGGCAGCGAACGTACAGTTGTTAGCTTAGCCGAAAGGTAAGGAAGGCCCCCACCTCAAGCTGAATCCCAACCTTTCTGCACCAAGTTTACTGCTGATCAAAGAGACAACAGGATTCCTTTTCATGAAGAGGCATCCAACTAGGCACAGGGGGAAAAAAAATGTGCTGTGGATTTCTCAAAGACCATCTTGCCTGCTCCGTAAGGTAGGTGAGGTAAATCATTTAACTCTGATACAATTGTATTACCATTGCATTAGCTGAAGAGAAGAATACAGGAGACAGCCATCACTGCAGCACACCTTGAGGACAGAGCTCTGCTCTTCTGCTACTGGATTTCAGTCTGAAGTCCTATTAACAAAAGCTGTTTCCTCTATGCCTTTTGCTGATGGAAATGTGTCTTTTTTTTTTTTTTCCTCTGATCAAGCTTTTCCCCCTAAAGCACTAAGTACTAGCATCTTAAATTGTTCATCCTTGAGAGAGCATTTGTTTACAATTTCAGTTCCTTTATTAAAACACATTTTAAAGAAGGCTCATATTTCAAAGAGGACTAATCTACCATATGCACACCAAGAAGGTGACCCTGGTTCTATCATATTTCAGATTACTTCACCGAAGAAGAAATGTATAAAAGTTTCACGTACAAATTTTCACTTTAGAAATAAAAAATGGAACTCACTGCCTCAGCGCTAAGCTTCCAGAACGATTATCCCTTTCACAACAAATTCTGATTTACCTTCTGACATTGCAAAGCGTACTTCTATGCTTTTAAATTTAAAGCAAGTCAACATCCTGATTTATTTCTCTTTATTTTTAACAGCCACCATCCACTATTAAAGAGGGATATTTAATGAACCAAAAGGGCGAGCACCAAACGAACAACCAATGTTTCCAGCACATTAAAACAAGAGTGCTTCACACCATTTACTATGGTAAGGCCCTTTTCAAATAAACGTGTGACTCACTGTTTGTTTTCTTCACCAGGAGGTGGAGTCTTGCCATGCCCCTCCATTACAAAATCCTCATGTTCCATCTGCAAAGGCAAGCATTGCAGGTCAGAAATTGGTGGAGCAAAACGCACATCACCTAAAGTGGCCCTTTTCCATATGCAGCAACTTAAGGCAGCCACTTTATCAGAGCGACTGGTCCAGAACAGACCATGTGGTTTCTTAGCAACATATGTACATCTCCATCCCCATTGCTATGGTATCATTTTATAGCACAGTTCTCAGAAAATCTTACAAGGGAAGAAGAATGATTTAATGGCTATCGCAGGAGACTGATCAGTCAGGGTATCTATGTTCTTAATCTTGCTCTGTTATGGATTTCCTTCATTATTCTCAATAAGTATGACTTCTACCGCACTTCTTCCTTACGTATAAAGTAGGAATTAAAAAAAAAAACATTTTTCTGTGAAGATCTCTCTCTCAAAAAAAAAAAAAAAGATTTTTAAAAACTGTATTAACTACAGATAGAAACTGCTGTAAAAGCTGAGTATTATTTGTGAAAAGCAACTTTATATGAAGGACTTTCACTGCACACGCACAGCTTAGTTAGTAGGGTAAAAAAAAGAGGCCTAAGGGAACCTCAAATAAATGCTGTTCCAATGACAACATAAGGTAGGCATTTCCTTTGGCTCACATGATAAAAGATTCCAAGGGCACTAAGGAAGCTTTCTGCTTAATTGTTTGCTTTTTAAATACAGTTTTAGCATACATTTTCAGTAATTTCGTTGGCCAGAAAGGGGAATTACATTATATTTTATCATTAATTATGCACGCTTCATTTAATTACTTCATTCAGCCAGAAGTTTTTGCAAAGGTAGCAGAATATTCTCTTTCTACAAAAATTCAACACATGCACTTAGTATTTTACACAAACATCCAGGCATACGGTTAGCAATGCTCTGCTTTACATGAAGTCAGCAATCAGGCCACACTGCGATGTTCAATAAGCCATACGACAAATAGAGCAAATAAATCATCATCACACACAAATCCATGACCCCCTACATCACATTTGGGAATGGAAAGTAGAGGAGAACACTATTCAGTCAGAAAGGATAACATATTCTAGTTATTCAGTTAAGGAGGAAAACAAAACCAAACAAAACCTACAGAACACAAACCAGCCAACCACTACCTCAGCCCTTCCCTTGTGTCCCTTCCTCAAGAAGAATCAACTTGACTCATTGCTACCTTGATCCCGTTGACAGGTCAAAAATACTGACAAAAAAACGTTATGTGCACACTGACATCTAACAGGGCTAACAGAAATTATGTTATTTGCCTGCGTGGACACAGCCCTAAGCAAAATCACAAACGTACTGAGAAACCGAGACACTGTAAGCTGGTAATGACATCCTTGAAGACAAAGTCAATCAAGTAAGCATATAAGGCAATTTCACACTTGTGAGCATGTACCCAATGGGATCCAGAGTCAAAACAGTATTTATTTAAAAGCAGAAGTTTGAAAGCAAAAAAAAAATTTGCATTTCCATTCCCTGAACAACTCGCATTTAGTCTCACCGTATCAAACATAATGAAATCTGCTTGCACCTGTCTATGTCTGCTTCTCAGGAGCTCTAACATCCGCACTCAAATTGCCAGGTGGAAGAGAAAGGTATTCCACTAATCGCATTGTTGTAGATGATTTAAAAAACAAACAAATAAAAAAAAAAAACAACTAGGACAACTGGTAAAATAGCTACAGGTTTGTGGCCACATCATAAAACAACATGGTTTTATTGTGTGAGAGTAAATGTTTAAGAGTTACTCCTATACAGCCTGAATTTTAGCTAGTTTGCTCTATGTTCAGGTGGGTGGAGGAAAGCCTCTTGCTGATATGAGACAAGCACAGTTCACATGAAAAGTAAGCAAAGGAAGGGTTTGTGGCTAGTACCAGGAAGAAAACATAAGATGCAATGTTTGTGAGTAAAGAAGAATTGCATCCAGCATGTATAATGCTAAACTAACGAGATTCCCATATAAAACAGAAATTCAGTTTAATGAAGCTGGAGATTGTAAAAGATCGAGTTTAAAGCTAGAAAGACTTCAAAGCCAACAAAAATTTGGAAAGGAATGGGAATTTTATTAGAACATAAACAAGAAACCCGGATGAGAACTGGAACATCTAGTAGATCACCAAGACAAGGCAATTGCCAAAGTACTGTCAATAAAACTGTTGCTTTACTACAAATTTTAAATGCCTGTGGCATGGCTCTTCAGGCAACATTGTTATCTAGTATGCACATCTATCAAAATTACCATTATAAAGAGGAAAAGTAAGCAAACAAGAACTACAAATACCCTGGGTTAAAAATAACATTCTCGTAGGTCTAGACACAATCTGTTTCAAAGCAACTTAAAAAAAATAATCTACCATCTACCAAAATGTTAATCAGTTTACTTCACTTCAGACAGCATGTAGAATTATCTGAAATAACTGAAAGAAGAAGAGGAGGAAGAAAAGAGCTAGGCTTCTTGTCACTTAGAGGAAGGCAATGGCAAAGCTTCTCAAGAGAAGTTCACAAAGAACATTAGTCACAGAGCAAGAAAGTCCTCATGAATGTGGAAACTGTTGAATTCACAAAATAAAGATTAATTTGTAAGTTTTCACTGAAAAAAAAACTAACAATGAAATGCCTCAAGACATGGGAACTTTAAGAAATTGAGTGTCAGGGAACTAGAATGAGCAACTGGACTGGTAAGAAAAACAGCTGGGTGGTCAGTCTCGGGGTAATAGTTAATGGTTGCACACTACCTGGATGCTGTTAAAACGTGGGATGCTGCACGGGTCTGTCCTAGAACTTGTCCATTAAACATCTTCATCGATGGCTTGAAGGACCAACACGGTTGTACTCTGCTTGGGTTTTAAGCTAATGCCACAGGCTGAGGAATGACTGGCTAGGAAGCAGCTCTGTGGAAAAGGCTTTGGCAGATGGCAAGTGGTTTATGAGCCAGCAGCATGCCCTGACAGGAGAAGCCAACAGTGTCCCAGGCTTTATTGGTAAGAGCCTTGCCAGTAGATGAAGGAACTGATTATTTCCTCTGCTCAGTGCTCAACAGACCATATCTGGAATAATGCACCTAGTTTTGGGCCCCCCAAGAAAACACAAGAAACACATCCATGAAGTAGACCAGCTTCTGCAGCAGAGCCCAGCAAGATGCTCAGGGGCTGCAGCACATGCTGCATGAGGACAAGCTGAGCTTGCTCAGCTTCAGGACAGCTTTGGGGGGATCTAACAGCAACCCGCCTGTACCTACAAGGACATCAGCACTGCAGTGGGCCTGGGGGAACATGCACAAGTTGGAACAAGAGAAGTCCAGATTGGATATGAGAAGACTTGTCTTCACCATAAGTCAAAAAGTGGAAGAGGTTCTCCAGAGAAGTTCTGCAGTCTCCATGTTTCAAGGTTTTCAAGGCCAGATTACATAAAATCCCTTGTAAGCTGGTCTGACCTCACAGCTGACCCTGCTTTGATGAGGAGGTTAAACTGGAGCCCCCTTGAAGTCCCTTCCAATCTGAATTTCCTGGTGATCTTGTAAATACAAGGACAGTTTAATGTTGAGAGGTAATATACAGAAGAAAACAAAACACTACCAAGTTAACAACCCAGAAAGAACTGTCACTCCAGTATGGAAAGGTCTAAGAAAAATCTTAGAAAGTAGTTACATAGTCAAAACAAAAAATCTAAAAATAAAACCACCCAAAAAAAGAGAAATTAAACTATTCCATATTTCTATCGTACTACTCTTCAGCAATGACTGTAGCAGATCCAGAGTATGTCCTCTTTTAGATTACTGCCTATAGGTAGCAAGCAGCTACTGCAGGCTTAGAAAGCTTACACAATGCTGTAAGAATGAGAGCTCAGAATAAAGAAAGGTCTGAGGCAGAGAACAGATTTGACATGAATACAGCCCAACATTTGGGCTTCAGATCTCCCGTAACACAAGACGTATGACTGATGTATACACAAGGAAGTAGTCTGACAATGTTGTAACATGTCCCTCCTTCACGACCACAACATAAATAAAACCTAAGCTACTCAAAAAGCAACTTAAGATACACAATTAATTGTAAAGTATACTAATTAGTGAGCAGACAAATAACTTGTTGTACAAACATACCTTGCAACACTGAATTTTGCAAGTCCTTGTAGACTGCATGCTTTTATATGTCTATCTATACAAAGATGATGATTTATTTGTCTACTAGAGGATTACGAAACACGAGCAACATAAGCTTTTCTGATTCTGACAAGATCATGTTTACAAACTCAAAGGGACAGGGCTTTGAGCAACTGGATCTAGGGAAAGATGTCCCTGCCCACGGCAAAGGGCTGGACTGGGTGATTTTAAAGGTCCCTTCCAACCCAAACCATTCGATGATTCTCTCTACAAGGCTATTGCATAGGTCTGATTCAGCACAACCTCGTTTTGCAGAACTCTGCCTCTAATTTTCTCACTTGTCTGGATATGGTAAATATTATTTCATGACCAGTGGTATGCATTTTCACAATAAGTTTAGAAAGTCAGATTAGTCATTTTCAGCTTTCCCTGACATTTGAAAGTCTAAAGTGCTTTACTGGGTAGTTCATCTTAATTTAAAGAGGTGCCTCTGACAAACTGCCTTCTGAAAACAAAATTAAACTGACCAAAGAACATTCCATGGACATTATTTACATATTTTTTTAAATTAATTCTTAGGGCCTAGTTAATTTATTGACTAGATTTACTTTTGAAATTAAAAAGTATATACATTTTTTTTAGGTCTTATTTCCCCAATGATAGTAGTAGCACCCCCTTGCAGAAAGGGTGAGAATAAGATATTTGAAGTTTTGATTAAGTGACTACCTGTGGATGACTTGAAAAGAAGAACAGCACTTAACAGCCAAAATAAGCTTGAAATATTTTTTTCTCCCCAACCACAGTTCTTACAAAATGCCTATGGACATTTCTTCCCCCCAAAAGTCTCTCAGCTTCTCTTCAATCTGTCATCACGACATCATGTCCAGCAGTCTTTTCCCCTTCT